GTATCTCAAAATATTAGAAGTAATCAGCTTACTGTTTAAGAGGTATCATGATCTAGCTGTAGATATACAGTCACCTCAACACCTGCCAATACCGATCACAGTACAAGAGAAAAACAGACAAAAATTTATGTCCTTCATAAGTTTAAGGAAAGCCACCTGAACCCAGGCTTACAGGCAGTAAGCCTAGCTTATTGCCTTACGTATAAAAACTCTTCAGCTATCAAGTCAGCCACATGGAAGGTGTATAGTACTGAAATAACTGTTTAGTCTTTTCCACTCAATAAGTGGACCATTCATCTAATAATCTTATACCATTACACCACAAAAGTTGCTACCACCAGTTTACCAGACTTATTTCACGTGCAGTATGAAATATCACAAGGACTGTTTTTCTTCCTGTTAGTGAGCAAGTGTTGGATAGTGGGGGAGATGATTATACATAGCTAATAATAAATGTTTCAAGTAAATCTGTGTGTACTATTTTTGCCAAGTAATTTTTAGGCTACTGACTGTTAAAGCAGTTTGTGTCACCAGGCTTTTTAAGCCAGGCTTTTTAAGCCTGGTTTGTGTAATTATTCCTGAGTCATCTGAGCTTCCTACCAAATCATCAATTAAGGTTAAATAAAACCCCCATAAATCCAGCGACCCACAGTCAAAATAACCAAAGTCAGTGCTCTGCTAATAAAACATACAGTATCTGCTCTTGTGCAAAGTCCTCTATAAGCTTCTAGTGGTAATATGGGCATGTAACTTCTGTTAGTTGTGCCATCTAGTTTCTATGTGAATCGTGTTGCATATTCCTGGCATTCACAGCCTTCCAAAGCAGCAGCGGCAAACAACGTAAGGCAGATGCAAATCTGGGTAGCAGAGTTTGTAGGTGGTTTTCAGTTACTTTTTCCACCGCTCCTGGCTAAGGAAAAAAATCCATAATCCACTGGAGAAAAATTCAGCCACTTTCCACGTGCAGCACGATAGGGTCACTTCGGCTACTACTTTAAGACTGATTTCCCACAGAAACTTGCTTTTGTTTCTCTCTCCACTTTCTTTCCCTCCCAAAGCTTCTTCTACAGGTCCTGCCAGGCCTAGGTGAGAACATTCTCCCCTGACATGCACTCACAGAAAACACCTTCATCCTTCGGATGTCCTATCCACATCTAGGTTCCCTGGCTTTTTCTCCAACTACTACTTTGAAGATGACAAACTGAATTTGTGCAAAGGATATTTAGCAAACGACTTCACAGTCACCACAGTGAAATGGGCACTAGAACACCTCTTCAAAGGAATACTAATTTTAGCTGCCACTAGCTAGATATCACTAACTGTCTTGAACTTCGGCCAACATTGCAAAACTTTATTGTAGGAATATGTAAGACACTGCAAGTGAAAGAAATCAGGCCACTGAGAGCTACTGGGAAAGCAGCCAGTTTGAGGTTAGGGTTTATCATCATTCACTTCTATGCAAGCGTCATGTGTCAAAAAAAGCAAAGTGAAGCATCTTAGTTGCAGCAATGCCAGCAAAGCAGTAGTTTTCAAAAAAAAAAAAATCACAAGATTAACATTGAGCTAGATTAGACCACAGAAATACTGCTTTCTCATTTTCCCCAAATTAAGAAAAAGCTTTTAAACATCTGATAAGGTCAGAGTTGCAACAAATGCTAACTGAACAAGCTGAAGCTGCGTCCTCCTCTGCTTTAAGATGAGAACTCTTCTCCCCCCACCTTTTCCTCAATCTATATGCACAGCTTAAAACAGAAAGAAATAGTATTCTGTACACTGCACATTTAAACTGACCCAGTAGTTAAACAACACTATAAGAAGTAATTCATAACAGTCTTCAACATCAGACTTTACTAAGATATTTGATTAAAAGCAGAAGTATTGCTGGATATTTTTCTCATACGTTGCTTGGGTTTTTTTGGTTGGCTTTTAAACAGGCCTGAGCTAATGCATGCAATGAAAAGGAAATAGTATGCCTATTAGAATATACCGTATTGACCCAGCGCAGACTCTGTCTTCCTTTCTCCAGCTAAGTTCTTAGCCACAGTCTATGCAGATGAATGGAAAAGTCAGCAGCTAAAGGATTTCTTACCGATTGGAAGGATTTCTTGGCACAGTAAGCTGCAGCAGTCTTTTCATCCGTGCTTACAGCTTTGAAATTCAAGAGCTGCATTTTTTTCCATTTTAATACAAGAGCAGGAAGGCCTCGGTGCTTGGAAGTACCTATCCCAGCAATGACAAGATGAATAAACAAACCAGAGCCCCCATCAATTCTTGTTTCCAAAGGGGGGGGGGGGGGGTCAGCCATTTCTGCCCAGCTAACTGGAACTGTCATTTAAAGTCTTTTACCTTAGGAAAAAGAATCTATTGCCAACTCTGCTACAGCTTTTTTTTTTTTTCCTTAAAAGGTATTGCATCATGAGAACTTGAAGTACATTCATAAATATATCCTCGGCACAATTTAATTGAAAAATATTTTAATATTATTACATAATTAGTCAAAGCTTAACCATTAGGTACAAGTAACTTGCTAAATAAGTTACAGGCACACCCACTTGATCAACAGTATCAGTGATATTTATTTAAAATACTTTTTCTGAGGAAATTTGTTTCATAAGAGATGGTTTTCAAACAAATCAGCAAGGTTATGAAAAATAAAACAGAGACAAACTCTCCGGGGAAAAAAAAGTTACAAAGAAAGCTTTTGTGTATCAACAAAAACCCTCAGTCTTTTGATTTGCAGCCTGAGTTTCAGTCCCAACCTTTTCCATCTAATGAACCCCACTATCCATCTTTAGATCTGGTTTGTTCTTGTCATTCTTCACCGAGTAGATGAAATATGTTAAGGTGTCCTTTTCATTCACTGGAATTGTCCTAAAATGGCAGCCAATTATCTATAAAGGAAGAATGCAAGGAAATTAAATAACCAGTCTTATATGCTGAAACAGAAGATTCAGATTTAAATTGACTAAAAGTTTAAAAGCTTGATCAAGAAGCTTAAAAAAAAAAAGAAAAAAAGATAAAACCTACCTCTCTTCAAAAGTCTTTAACAGTCATAAAAAACATAGAACAAGAACTATTTTATTAAGAACTATGAACCAACTATAGCAGATTGTACTCATTTTGTAAGTAAAAACCTTAGAAAATTTTCAAGGAAAAAAACCAACGAACAAGTTCTCAGAACAAGCACAGGAGTATCATTACACCTATGGGGTCAAAGCTTGACTATAAAGCAAGTAATGACTACAGAATACCAACAGAGCAACAGCACAGAAATGAGAGGCTACTGCTCATTACTCACATCGGGGGATGTGTATCTGTTTCAAGCATATAGAAACATCTAAGACAATATAAGAATCTTCAAGAATTATAACTGAACATTCAACTCTTTGAAACAGAGCTGCCAACGATGAAAATTCACTAAAATACAACAATATCTAAACAGTTCTCAAGTCACTTCTGTTATTCTAGAAGTCTCTTCCTTCATCGAAATGAACACCAACTTTAAAAGAAAGCACTCAAAATACTACACCCGCCCAAGCCTATTCTCTGGCTTTTTGCAGAACTCTTTGAAAGATTAAAATTAGCAAGAGGAAGTGAGAAAAATGGGACTGCTCATTTAACGACTACAGGGTGTATGTATAAATGCTTAGTGTAATTATTAAGTTAGAAAGCCGTCCAAACCCCACCCTCAGAAAATTCAGAGAGAAACAGTTTGACAGAGTCCTTTAAAGTGGACTTCTAAGTAACAGCTAGAGAAGTGTCTACTGCACAGTGGGACAGGTTAGAAGGAATCACATGCACTGTAGTTCTGCAGCTATGGCTCACAAATACCTGCAGGTTGAACAAAGCATGTGACAGAAGCTTTGCCTACTCACATCGAGCAGCATCAGAAGCATAAGCTAGCACAAATATCTCACGAGATGCACCCAAAGCAGACCCTTAAAAATGCTGGTTTTGTAGAACAAAAACTGTGCTTTTTCAAATCAAGGTCCTGCTAATTCAAGAGCTAGCTCTCTCTCACATACAAGACAACAGAAGACTGATTTTAAATTCTAACTCATAGGGGCAGCAGCACTATGCTTTTACAGCTCAGCCTTGAGATTTCCCACACATTTAAGAACCTTGCCTTTAATCCACACAGATTAAGGGAGAGACCAACAAAATGTCTGCACTAAAGTACAACCGAGTGTATCACTGCACAAAAGTGAAAAAAAATGGTAGCTGTATCTCCCTGTTAAGAGATCATCAGTTCTCCCACATATTTACATCAGCACGCTGCAACTATCTTTGCAGTGCAGAATTTAAAATTACACTCGCATGCAGCAAAGATACTTACATACAGCTGTACTCAGACACAGCTTCAGCGCTTTTAGAATGCTGATAACCAAAAAACCTAATTACATAAAGTTCCATTTTTCTGGTGACAGATCCTGGTGGTTTTAATTAACACAATTAATTATCAGTAGAAGCCTGTTTTTCATGTTTCCATACTTTGCATATACAGAAACATGTATGTTTCCAGTAACTTGCTTTTCAGAGTAAAGTCTGAACCTTTCTACAACTCCACTGCTCCCTCTCAGTTTCTAGTTCTTTTCA